GCGTTTGTAGCTGGCATCATACGGCTGATGATATAAATCCTGCATTACCCATAATCAGGAATATACCGTAATTCCCATGGTTAAGGGTCCTTAATAAGGTAATGCCGGATTTATGTCATCAACAGTAGGATCCATTCATGAGTGTATCCAGCGACGCTGTTGCCGTGAATAGCTGCTGGGGCAGGCGCTTCTCGCTGACATCAGGACCGAAAAGGGCTTTGGCGTAATATGGGAGTTTCCTGGTACCCTATCTTGGGGTCCTTTATAATAAGGATCCTACTATTTAGGGTACTATGTTAGGGTCCCCTATATCCGGAAACCCCCATATACCCCAGATCCATTTTGGATCAGAGAAAGCACTTCAGGTAGGTGTAGCAGTACCCCTGCAGAGGGTTCATCCCGTATCTTTCCATCGCCTGGCCTCAGTAGGTCATATCATATAGGTATGCCAAACCCTAAAAACCCCTCAACCCCTAAACCCCTAAACCCCTAAACTCCTAAACCCTAAACCCCTAACCCTAAACCCCTAAACCCCCTCAACCCCCTCAACCCCTAAACCCTAAAGGGGCTTCTCCTAGGAGCCCTTTAGGATGCCCAGCCTTTCTTCCGAGAGCTGCCAGGCGTCGGGTCTTCGTCTAGACATGTGGGGAGGTCTCTGAATTAGGGTCCCCTTTTGGGGGTCCTTTTTTTTTAAGAAGTAGGCTTCCTTAAAGGGGTCCACAAGGGTTTCTATAGGGTTTTTATAAGGGTAGTTCTCTAAACTAGGCTTCCTTAAAGGGATCTATAAGGGTTTCTATAAGGGTACTCTAGGGGTAGTTCTCCCAATCAGGGTCCCTTTTAGGGTCCTTTTATTAAGGCAGTCGTACTATATTGGAGGCTTAGACTAAAAGGGGGCGTTAATCTAGAGAACTACTGTGAGCGATGTGAGGGCATCTACGGGTCGTTTGCCAGTGCATCTCCAGGACTGCACTGGAAAAGCCAATGGGCGAGGTGCCCGTGCATGCAGAGATGTGTAGAATGGCTAGGAGATTTCAGGGAGTCTTCGCGTAAACTCAAAACTGCAATTGCTGCTGTCAGCTGTCAGCGTTATAGTACTCCTTTTGACCCACGTAGCCCTCATGGGCGCCTGTGCCTTCTCATAGCCTCATAGTGCCAGCAGCAGCACTTCGGAATTGGCAGCTCCCGCAAGAATACCTGTAAGCCCTAAGCCCCCAAGCCCCCAAATCTCTTTAGTAAGGCAATAGACCTTGCATCCCTGACCTCCAAGGACATATTGACAAGGCTAGGGTGGTGTTTTCCAGGACTCGCAATGGAGTCGGCAAAAAAGGAATCCAGGACATGGAGCTCGAATTTCTTATTGGCAGTATCCCTACTGTTGGTCACATCAATCCTTAGCATGACCTTAAGCACCCTAGACCATGGGAATTCTGGTACATTCTTTACTATGGGTAATGCTAAGGGTTTTACCTCATCAACTGTAGTCTCCCTAAATAGCTGTTGTACTGTGAAGGCACCGGTTTGAGTGCTGCAAGGAACTCGGAGTCGATTTCTGCTCTCAGCATCTGTGGCTACAGAAAACATACTGTAGCATTTTTCAGAGAGTTTAAGGATTTCGGAGGAAGTATCTACTCAAGGATATGTCTAGAACCCATGTTGCAACAGAAGCATGTCTTTTCCGAAACCTGGCCAGGAATGGTCGATCCCTCGGAAGCAGCTCCTGGCGGTGGCTTGCACCCCAGGAATGTTTCAGCCAGCACAGAATGTGTCGTTCTCTCAAATTCGTGTCGCTTTGGCACTACATATTGACGTTTCAATTGTTGAACTTCGAAGGGAGTGGGACAAGCTTTGTGCCAACTATGTGTCACAACAAGGCTTCTCAAGCAAGGTGTCCGCGTCCCTTCCCAGACTCATCCACCCTAAGCCCTAATCCTAAACCTAAACCCTGAACCCAGTCATAAACATCCTCCAGTAAGCCCCCAAATCAAACAGAAGCCCCCCCCAGCCCTAAACCCTAAACCCTACACCCTAAACCCAAATCAAACAGAAGCCCCCCCCCCCAGGTGCAAGAGATGGACCCAGCACGGAGCGCCCCAGCGCCCCTGCGGCTGCGAGGAGGCGCTCCGACGAAATGTCGGGTTTTGTGGAGCTTCGGAAATGGATTTTGGGGGCTTTAGGGACCCTAAACCCCAACCCCTAAACCCCTAGACCCCTAAACCCTAAACCAATAAACCCAGAAACCCCTAAACCCCTAAACCCTAAACCGGGAGTAGGGTATGGAGTCTCTTGGGCTGAGCATGAGACAGGCAACTACCCCGTAACTTTGGCAATGGTTTTTTGGATAATTCCGAAAACATCTCAGCATGTTAGGCCAAATCCAATCTCGGTGCCTTCGACGAAAGGAACATGAGCTTTTAACATGCTGTCATGGCATTATGAGCAGGCTGCCGATGACCGAGACAGTCCTACAGTACTCTGGCCTGCACGCAAAGCCCATGCGCCAAAATCCCAAAAGCTACAACCCCGCAAACTGACAACACGAAGTTAGCACCCCCTCTTCCCTAAAGCCTGAGTGCAAGAGCCCCATTAGCCCTGAATCCCAAGGACCCACAGGAGCGTCTTCCACCGCTTCGCCAGGCTTGCAGCCAACTCCGCCTCTTATTGGCCTGGCAAGCCGTGCGTAAATCTGCGGAAAAAGCCGAGCGAGGTTTTCAGTGGAATATGGGGGCACCACTCGTACCACCACGAGGGACGAAGACGATCGAGGGTCGACGGCGATGACTACCTGCGATAGAACTTCTTACTACGACTAGCGATCAGATTTCTTTCAGCAGTGCTTGCTCTGGCCAAGAAGGTGCCATCATGATGAGTCTTATGCGCAGTACAGGGCGCTGTAAGTGTCATCATGTACTCTAAGTGGTGTCTTCCTGCTCGTCCTGCAGATACTGCCAGAATGACTCACAAAAGAAGGCTCGAGCCGTCTTCGCATGAAGACACCAGCCCACTGATCTGCTAGAGTCAGGTCGGCTTGTACAGCCAGATCTGACGAGCCCTATACTGTTTAGGGGCTTAGGGGCTTAGGGTTTAGGGTTTAGCTTTGATGACAGAAACCCTGCACTACCTTAAGGACCTTCAACTATGGGAGTGATGGTGAGTGCAATTTACAACCACAGTGGTGGCCGCCCTCGGTATTCATGTCTGGCTGCCCGCCTTCGAAGAATGATGGCAGATCCTTCCTTCAAGAATGAATGAATTTGGTAACTAGTTAGGCACTGATTACCAAAAGGTTTCAGGCCTGCTATTCGGTAGAGGGAAGTGTCCGACTGAAGCGCCTGAGATCTGCTTCGACGAGCCTGTCCCTCAGAAGACCCTCCTGAACTAACCCCTAACCCCTAAACCCTAAACCCCTTAAATCCCTAAACCCTAAACCCTAAACCCCTTAAATCCCTAAACCCTAAACCCCTTAAATCCCTTAAATCCCTAAACCCTAAACCCCTTAAATCCCTAAACCCTAAACCCTAAACCCCTTAAATCCCTAAACCCTAAACCCTAAAAACCCTAAATCCCTAAACCCTAAACCCTAAGTCTGAGGGCCAGGACATGGCAAGCCCTTTCCAGTGGGAGTTTCCGAAAACACTTAACCCTTATTCTGGGGTCCTTATAATAAGGATCCTAGTATTTAAGGGTACTTTATTAGGGTCCCCTGTTTTCGGAAACCCCCAAGTTCCTCCAACTCTGGAGGGGCCCGCCGCCTTTTGGATCAAGTCTTGCCTGTCACTTCGGAGCCTTGAACCCTAAACCCTAAACCCCTTAAATCCTTAAACCCTAAACCCTAGAACCCCTGAAACCCCTAAACCCTAGAACCCCTGAAACCCCTAAACCCCCGAAACCCCGAAACCCTAAAAACCCGAAACCCCTAAACCCAAAAAACCCTAAAAACCCTAAAACCCCTAAAACCCCTGAAACCCCGAAACCCCCCAAAACCGCAAACCCTAAAAACCCTAAACGAGAGCTACTTTTTTTGGCCGCAGATGCGGCGACTGAAGTCGAGGGCCGATGAGCTCTGGGAAAAGGGCCTCTTTGCAGCTGAATGAATACACTTGTTAAGCCTTTTTTCGGATAATTTGCGGTTTAGGGTAGGGTTTAGGGATTTAGTAATCTTAGGGTTTAGGGCTTAGGATCCCTTATAGAACTGAAAGTGTACACTTTTTTTGGACCCCAAAAAAAACTCAGCAACTAAGGCCTCTTCCGTGCTGCGAGCAGTTTGGGAGTGCTCCCTTGGGGCGACTCGGAGAGAAGTGGCTTTTGGGTTTTGAAGGCGTCTGTCTCTTGTAGACCCGAATAACCCAGACAACCCAATACCCCTTAATTAAGGAATAGACCTCAAGTCATAGTATTAAGCCCCCTATAAGTGAAGGTCTATTCCTTAATTAAGGGGTGTTGGGTTCTCTGGGTACCCTTGCAGTCCAGAATTTAGGGTTGAGGCGGCTTCCCCCCGACCTGGTAACATGGCCCAACACCCGAGGCCCACATCATCATGCACTATACTATACTATAATACAGTGAGCCCCAGAAAGTTGGAACATGGTTTCAGGATCACAATCCTGCTGAGGCAAATCTTCGATACCGGGAGCCTGCCGGAGTTTCTGGCCACCACCCCGGCGCCTCGGGTTGGGCGTATACCCGATACTGATTTTGGGCATCAGGGTGGTAGGGTTTTGTCCCAAAAGCAGGATTCCAATCATGACTGCCCGAAATCGGAGTTCTAAACTCCTAGACCCAAGAGCTGGAGCCCCTGATGTTGGGCACAAGCCTTACCCGGAGAGCCCACTACCCCTTAGTTAAGGAATATACCGGAATATACCGTAAATCCTAACAAGAAGGCGCCTATAATTTAAGGTATATTCCTTAATTAAGGGGTGTTGGGTTCTTTGGGTACCTGGTCGTCCTTGCTGAGCTTTCGCGCGTCGTTGCAGTATCTCTGCCCCCCATAAATTCTGGAAATGCGGTCCAAGGTCAAGGACGTGGATGTGTTCATCAGCCATTCCTGGTCAGCTGGCCGATGGGATAAATACCTGGCGGTGTGCTACTTTCTGAACCGGAAAGTCGAGTTTGGTATGCTTTAGGGGCACGAGTTCCTTCTTTTTGTGGAGGCTTTTTTGTGGAGTATTCCAGTTCAGTTCTGCAGCGATCCAGGAACCTTGGTTTGGCAGCAAAGGCGATGACGGCATTTGTGGTGCTTTCCGAAGCCTCCATGCTGGCTTTCGCCGATATGTCCATCCATGTGATGTTCGTGTTCCTGCTGGACTTTCCCATTCTGATCTTCTTCTTGGTCTTCTTTTTCGGGCAGCACCTCACCTGTGGAGTCTGGGGTCCTAACTTCTGGTTGGACAGGCTCTGCGTGGACCAAACCGACGCGAAAACAAAGGCGGAAGGGATCGCAGGCTTGCCCACGATTGTGGCGAACTCTTCAGAACTGCTCGTCTTGTGGGACAAGTCATACTACCAACGGCTGCTTCGGCTTGTTTCAAGCAGGTTTCAATGGCTCCTAGCACAAAGCATAACAAATTTCAAGCACCGGCATGATCTACAGTATTGACAGTATTGGCTTTCCCTCTGGAATAACTGAACCCGTTACAAGCAACAAGGCTCTGGTGCAACTTTGAGCTGTCGATTTTCTTCAAAGGAAACGGTCTCAAGAATCTGCGGCTTGTGCCATTGTGGCTCACTCCGTGGCTGCTGACGACAATGTTGCTCTCCTACTTTTCAGCCCGTCTCGTCGCTGTCTTCACCGAGTCTGATCCCAGCTTCGGCATCAATGACACAAGCAAACTGTCGGGAGCTGCGGGCAATGCGCTTGCTTTCGGTTTGAAGCGATTCTGGGGGTATGCGGTGGCAACTGAAGGTTACCTTTTCTTCTGGCTGCTGCCCATAATGGTGGGAATTGTCTCCTTTCAAAAGAAGCTGGACGGCCACCGAGACATGTTGGAAAGCATGAAGTCCTTTGACGTGCGAAATGCAAAGTGTGCCGTGGAGAGCGACCGTCTAGCCATCGAGGCATTGGATCCCAAACCCTAGCAAGCTTATTCCGAAAACAGGTCGTGAAGAGTATCTGTATCTTCAACCTAAACCCTAAACCCTAAAACACATCTGTATCTTCAACCTAAAGTGCTAGCAGATCTTCTGCCCCTACAGCCATAGAACACCTTGTAGTCCGCGGCCACTCCTGTGATGTTCTTGCAAACCCGTTCACTCCTGAATGGTGATGCCAACCGGGGAGCCTATGCCTGGACAGAAGCCTGTGACAAACAAAGTGAAGGATGCCTTATTTTAGGGTCTAGGAGTCTAGGGTTTAGGGCTTCTTTGAGACAAGTCAGCTATGCACTGGAACCGTGCCTCAAAGACTTTGTATGAGTCACAGCTTCTCACAACTATGTGTCCAGATGCCAACAGAGATGATTGCCCGACTCTGATCCCAATGCTGTAGGCAGAGCCCCGCTTTGGCCAACTAGACCCTGAACGGCAAGCAGAAGTCATCCCTGCTTTCCCCGCAGAGCGTAGCCCCCAAAAAGCCCCACGGTTTAGGGTTTAGGGTTTAGGGGACTCAGTCCGTTTACTTACACTTGTCTAACCAGCCCAACCCTGACAAGTGACAGTCCTGCTTCCCGACCTGATGATCCAAACTGGTGAATGACATAGTCTTGGAACCTGGGTGGTTCTGTTTCAAAGATGCAGACGTCATCTTTATGATTGTCATGTTCAACTGGCTGCGGTCCGCGCATGGCACAAGACTGGGTTCTAGACATCTGTAAGATCGCTAAAACAAGCAGAAAAGTCCCGTGCGATACATAAACCCTAAGCCCTAAACCCCAAAAGCCCTAAACCCCAAGCCCTGTTGCAGGCCCAAGTGGCCGAGCTTTTCGACGGCCTCGAGGATCCCATCATCGCTGTATCGGTCGAAGTGGCCGGATCTCTCTCAGAGACTTCGATTCCTTTTTTACCCAGAGAACCCAATACCCCTTAATTTTTGAATATACCGTAAAATCATAGTACTAAGGCCCCCACACTTTAAGGTATATATCAAAGATTTTTTCGGGGTTCGGAACAGCGTTGTAAAGAGAGGCTTATCTGGGGTAAGTCTTGGATGGAGATCGTGGCTTGCAGGCTCTCAAATTTGTCCAGCCTACACGGTTTAGGGTCTAGAGGCTTCCGCTGCACATCCTAGGTGGAGAACTCAGAGGACGAGCAGCAGGAGCCCATACGCCAACATGCAGAGCCAACCAACAGTCCCCCGAAGCTTCAAGAGAGGGCTGCCTTCACGCTGTTGCTAGCTCCTTTAGAGGTTTACAAAGCAGGATGCCTTGTTGAGCCTAGCTACCCTTCTCGGATTCGGATGAAGGGACGCGGCAGATTTGCCTTCTTAGGAGCCCAATAGGTTTTGGTATATTAAACCCCTACTAAAAGAAAAGTTTAAGCTTTTTGGGGTCAGGGTACTGGGCAGCTCAGCCTTCGAGGAGCTCATCGACCTGTCGTTAACCTACTCAGCCCGTCTAGCCGTGCGATCCGTGACGGGATTTGCGAACCATGACGATTGCCTGGAAGAGTTCAACAAGTATGTGCAAGGCCCAATGCATGATGCAGTTGTCGAAGACCTCGGGGACGTGACTGATATACCTTATGGTGTCGCTTACAACTCATTTCACAAAGCTTTTTACGTTCATTGTACCTTGCGTACAGCACAACAACTTAAACATGCTTCGATACTATCCGTCGATGAAATGAGGTCTGCTTGCTGGCCATGTTTCCCTGGATCTTGTCTTTTTTCCCCGTCACTTGGGCCGGAAGGCCAGCACGACATGCACTTGGCTATAGATCTGATTTCGAGTATCTTGCCGTGGAGTTCACGGAATGCCTCTTCTTCATGCTGGTGTACCCAGTCTCTAGGCGCAAGAGAGTCAATCTTCAGGTCCATGGAACCCTGACTCTCAGTGCGATCGCACGTTTTCCCTGCTCACCCCAGGCAGCGTATCCCTGTTTGCTCCGATGTGTCCGGTTTCTGGACAAGAGCTTCGACTCTGGATTTCTGCAGGCACCCGCAGCCCTCGGCAGCGGATTGCTGATTTTCAATCTTGTGCAGCTTCTTGGCTTCCGGGGTCCGGGGCTACTACAGGATCAATGGTCCGGAACTGTAGCATTCTGTCATGCATGATATACATCTACATATATATATATATATATCCTCTATAAAGTATAACTGGCAAATTCATCCGCCACCCTTCCAGCTTTGCTGGTCTCGGCTCAGACAGTAGTGCCGTGAGCAAGAACCCTGTTTTGGCAGCGGACCCACTATTCCCATCTTGTTCGTGGCAGGAGTGTGTATGCTGCTACTTGTACAGCTACACACATACATACACACATACATACATACATACATACATACATACATACATACATACATACATATATATATATATATCCGTATACACTTATGTGACGTATACATACGTATACATGTACGTCTTCTGGAGACAGACAAAACGGAAGTTCAAAAGGTTCGCAAGAGTGTTCAAGCCTTGTTTATGTGCTACATTTACGGTTTAGGATGCTTTAGGTGCCCTTAGCCGAACTGCACTGAAACAGCTTGCATGTGCGCAAAGATGCACCCGCACGCACCATAAATGAGGCAGCGGACGTTTTGTTCTTGTGCTCGTGAATCTTTGTACACCAAAAAATCATATAATATAATATATTATAATATCATATAACATAATATAAAGACCATGCAAGGCTCGAGAATGCTTTCGCATCCGCGTCCCTCGAGACCTTTGCATTCACGCGGCATCCAGCTTTCCTCTGCTTCTTCTTGCTCGCAGTTGTCGCCGCCATGTTCCAGCACTTTCTGCTCTTCGGTGCAGGGTCGCGGCAAAATTCCAACAGGGAGATGCGGATGTAGAGAAGGCTTGAAGGACTGTCCTGCAAAGGCAGGAATCCTTGCAAAAAGAAGCTGCAGCCAAGTGCGCAAAAATCGGCTCCAAGGCACTCATGTCCTCTAGTTCAACATGGTCGTGGAAGTAAGAAGTAAATAGTCTGTTCAGACATATACAAAATTTCAATATCTAGGTACCCTACGCCCTAACTTCTTTTTTATGACATTGTGTATGTATGATCCCGGTTCGGCCGGGCCCCCTCCTCTCGGTGCTTCATTCCCTGCATTGCTCTGACTCTTGCTTCTACACAGTTTGCATTGGCCTACGCATCTGATATGTTCATACATTATCCGCAGCTTATATTGATCCAAGAGTTTACCGTCTGTCACCATTTGGTGACTCTTGCGGCACTATGCCGCCAGGCACTCAGCGCATCAGGCATGGGTTCTACCTAGGGCGTAGGGCTCTGTGGGCGTAGGATAAGTGTTTGATGATGGTTCGCGCAGGGAGTTTATGCAATCTCATGGTTTGAGAGTAGGTCCTGTTGCATGGTTACGCTGTAGTAGCAAGTCAGCTTTACCTGCAATGCCGCAGAAGTGGTTGCCGCAAGCCGGACGACTTCTACAGCCTTCGAAGCCCTGCGCCCTAGAATCTACAACTGATAGACCCTACAACCGGTAACAAAGCAGTGGGTGGGAGGGGGAACCCAGAGAACCCAATACCCCTTAATCAAGGAATATACCTTAAATCATAACATGAAGGCCCCTTGTAATTTAAGGTACAGTCTTTAATTAAGGGGTATTGGGTTCTCTGGGAACACTTGGACACTTCAGGCCCTGCACACCAACAACACACTGTCGATCCGAACCATTTGTCACACTGCCAGACTTCTAGATCGCTTTAGAGTTTCGGGCCTTGCTTCTTAGAAAGCCAGCATGATATCGAAAGAGGCAGAAACCTGGAAAGGAATCAGCTTGAGCAAGCCGGCCAGATCCCAACTGTCTGACAGCGTGACTCATTCGGGCTTCTTCCATCTGAGATCGTTCGGGCCTCGACCATCCCAAACCTGAAGACCGACTGCGAGTCCTAACCTTTGTCTTGTGGTTCCAGCCCGTGGCCGGAAACCTAACTAGGGTTGTAATGTGGTAACAATGCTTATAACTGCTTGTAACACCAATTAAGGTACTTACAACTGTACTTACTCAAGGGGGACTTCAGCTCCAGCCTGAAATCTCTCCAACGCAAGCAACAATTAAGGGATATATGATATATATATATATATACCTTAGATCATAATATTAAGGCCTAAGGCCCCTAAACCCCTAAACCCTAAACCCACCTCACTGCCGCACCCACGGCTAAGGCGATCATCTTTACTGTTTTGGCGGTGCCGGGGCACCGTCTTTCTCGCGCTCCTGGCGCTCGGTCGGACCGAACAGCAGTGCGAAGAGGATAGCCCTGCAGGCTGGCTCCAGGACCCCTTCCCCTCCCCCCTTCCCCCAACCTTAAGCTACCAGAACCTACTTTTCTGCAGGTTCTTATGTAGGTTCTGATTATAAAACCCTAATATGGAATTTATAGGGACCCCTAAAAAAAGTAGGTTCTGGTAGTTTAAGGAACTCTCTGGGCATGACGGTCCGTACCCAACAGCAGGCCTTAGATTGCGGAGTGCTGCAAATAAAGCTTTGTACTTGGGGGTTTAGGGTTTAGGAGTTTAGGGTTTAGGGGTTTAGGGATTTGGGCTTTAGGGTTTAGGGGTTTAGGGTTTAAGGCTTGAGCACGAATTGAGCAATTGAGTTACGATACATATACATACACATACACATTTACATATATATATATGTGCATGCACATGTGCATACAAATGTGCATATGCTCATACAGATATGCATACACTACATTATGTTACATTACATTACATCACATTACATTTGCATAACAAGACATTACATTTACACTACATTATACTGCAGTACACTGCACTGCATTGCGCTGCATTGGTGACTTGTTCGTTTGTTGTCTTTCTTTGTTTCTGTCTTGCGCTGCTTCTGTTTTGCCTTGTGGAGTTGCGGTTCATTCCTGATGGAGCCAAACCCGCAGGCACGAAACTAAGTCTGGCCCGGAGAGGTCCGGCAGGCAAAGTGGGTTTAGGGTTTAGGGCGCCTGTCATAAGTCTGTTACAAGGCACATGCTCGACGGGTCAATAGTAGGATCAGATGCTACCTGAAACTTCGAACACACAGAGACCCTCAATTGCAACCCCCTTACCAGCACGCGATCAAAGAGATCGATGGGAACCAGCCAAGCAGCGAAGAATCCGAGTGTACCAAGAGACCCAACAGGAACCTAGTTCCCTAAACCCTAAACCGTCTGACCTCACGAGTCTGTCTTTTTTTCTCCTCGCTGTTCGGATGCGTAGAAACCCACAGACCTGGTTGCAGGCATTGATTTTTCTAAGCCCAGAGAACCCAATCCCCCTTAATTAAGGAATATATACCTTAAGGTAGAGGGGCTTGAATATTCTAATTTAAGGTATATTCCTTAATTGAGGGGTATTGGGTTCTAATTTGAGTTATATTCCTTAATTAAGGGGTATTGGGTTCTAATTTAAGGTATATTCCTTAATTAAGGGGTATTGGGTTCTCTGGGAGCTAGCCAACCGTTCGCTCCGGCAGGCCAGCCTACAAAACAAGCCGCGTTGCTGCAGGCCAGGTTTTGCCTTGGAACTTTGACGGATTTCTCTAAGCCCCTAAACCCCTAAACCCTAAATCCCTAAGCCCCTAAACCCCAAACCCTAAACCCCTGAACCCTTAACCCTTATAAAACCCTAAATAAACCCTAAACCGAGAGCCCAGGCTCAGGAGCCCCGGGATCGAAGTTCCCATCCAGACCCCCGCGCCTGTGCTCTCTTTAGCCCGTTCATCCATCGCCCTTGCGTCCGCAAAAACACCCTGCCTTCCGCCGATGACATTGGAGTCTGATGTTTTAGGGGTTTAGGGTTTAGGGCTTTAGGGGTTTAGGGTGCTTTTGGGCATTTTACATGGATGTTGCGGAACCTTCAGCCCTCTCAACGCAACGCCGAAGCCGCAAAAACCCGTCCTAACCCCCAACAAGCCTTAGATCATCCTTAACAACCACACCAAGCCTCGAACAGGGTGACCACGCTCCCCAGATGAGGATTCTGAGATCCCACCCACCAGTCCCGACGTAGCCATTTGGGACTTTCCGAAAGTTAGGGGTACCTTATTTCGGGGTCCTGATAATAAGGATCCCACTATTCAGGGCACTATATTAGGGTCCCCTATTTTCGGAAACCCCCATTTAAAGGAATCCTACGGACATGTCAGATTGAATAGCAGACACATCTCTGGTAGTTGGACGGCGGCTGGTATCCATCCATGGGTTTTTCGATACATTCTGTGTGAGAACAATGTATGAAAGACAGAAAACGAGTTGTTGAAGAAGCATGTTCATGCCACGGTTGTTGCAAGCGTGCTATTCATTACTACTATTACTATTACTATTATTATTTTTTATTATTACTATTGTTATTATCTATTTTTTTTCGGGGGGGGTGGTAAATTGTAGCTGTCAAAAAAGTGGTCTTGTCCAACCCTGCTGAGGTCCATTCCCGAATGCATCCAGGTACGGCTCGCATCCATACCCAACCAATACGACGTGCATTTCCGAGGGCGTACATGCCACTTCAGACTTCGCACATCCACACCCAACCATGATTTTGAAGAGACACATATTTTGGCAGTGAGCATGGAAACAGTCGCCGCCTCAGCCTCTAACAAATTGCAGCAGGCTCTACACGCCCAGCTGCTGAAGCTCAAGCGCACGTGCTGAGAACAGGTGTCCGACTCCCCAATGTCGGATTTTACAAGTATTTTCGGGACCTCGGACAAGACTATATAATTAGTGCTTATCACTACCGCAAAACTCACAAAAATGCTTTTTTCTTGCAGTTTCCCCTAGATTGTCAGATCTCAATGTCATGAACATGCAGACATTAACGAAACTTCCCACAGGGGTTAATAAGGAACCCCGATACCGTGAACATCCACAGAACCAAGGCTACCACGACAAGTACATGGCTTTACCCCCCAAAAGCGGAAACCCTAATCCCCTAAACCCCTAAACCCAAAACCCCTAAACCCCTAAACCCCCAAACCCCCAAAACCCTAAACCTCAAAACCCTAAACCCCTTAGTTGCAGCCCCTGGGTCTCATCTCGCAGCAGGTCCGAAAGCATTCGCATGAGACGGTGCCGCCCGATGTGATGGAAATCCCTGCTTTGGAGGCCGGGAAGCTTGGCCTTAGGCCTTAGGGTTTAGGGTTTAGGTGTTTAGGTGTTTAGGGTAGGGTTTAGGATTTCGGGTTTAGGGTTTAGGCCTTAGGGTTTCGGGTTTAGGTGTTTAGGGTTTAGGGTTTAGGTGTTTAGGGTTTAGGGTTTAGGATTTAGGATTTAGGGTTTAGGGTTTTCGAGTTAGATAACTTTGTTATCGCTCAGCTGAGCCAACCCCCCTCCAAGATGGTTTGAGCCGTAACTAAGATGAAATTGACCAAGCAGAGCGGGACACCCCCTACTGCACAGACAGGGTTCAAAGCTCGGGCCAGGAAATCTCGTCTTCCGGGCCTTTGTTCGAACAGTGCCGCGCACGAAAGACAGGACGGATCTTCGGATTCGGGGTCGTGCGGTGGGTGGTAGGTTGTTGACGTACCCTGTTAAAGACACTCTAATACGAAGTTGTTTGTTGAGCTGCCTTGGGCGATGCATCGCTGGATCAGCGGGTCAGAGCAGAGATCATTGCAAGCTTCTGTTCCTTGGTGGACTTGGTGTATAGCTGCACAAGGCAAGGCAACACACACACACACACAAACACAAACACATACATGCACAGCTTAGCTAGCCTGGCCGGAAATGGCAACTGCTCATTGACGAAGCTAGTTCAGTAAGTTACAGACGAAAGAAAGACAAGACCCCGAGAGCACTAATGACGCTTACAACGACGACTGCTGCT